ATATATGTATGTAATTAAAAAAAATGAATGAAATTTTATTTCAAAATAATTAAAAAATACACATACATACATATGTATATATTTCAAAAGGCTTTTGAAAAAATATTAAAGTTATTTACTAAACCAACTATTTCACACACAACAATAATTAAATACAGTTACATTAAAGGAAGGATATTCCAATTTATTTACAAAGGATTTTAGGTGCGGGAAAGTAGCTTAGGCAAAGCATACAACAGCAACAATTTAGGCGAACAGGATTTGTTAATTCAGTTGTACTTACTTTTGTTGGGTGTTGCCATTTCGATAGTTAATTAACCTATTGTGGAAATTACAACAACAATGGAAGTTAATTATTTATTTATTTCTCAGAAAGTATTTTTGAGCATTTACACATTTAAATTTATTAAAAGTAAAAATTGCAGATTTTATTTATTTTTAAAATCGTAAAAATTCAAAAGAGGTTGAAATAAAATTAAAAGAAAATTAATAACAATTATTAAAAATGAAATTTAAAAATAATAATAAAGAAAAACTATTAAATAATAGCAAAATAAAAAAAAGGTTAGCTTTGGTTATACTGAAACTGTAATACCCTTAACAAATACAAAGGATTTCATACAAGAACTTGAGTCCGATCTGAACATTTTTTTTGAGATTATAACGTTGCCTAAAACAATGGATCGAGCCAAGTTTCGTGCCATTATCTTGTCAAATAAAAAGTTTTCAATACAAGGACTTGAGTTTGCTCGGTCAGTTTGTACAGCAGCTATATGTCATAGTCGTTCAATTTGGAAAACTTGTTCAGTTATTTCAGCAACGCTTTACATAACTTTTCTTGCGAAATTTCGTGGAGAAACCTTTTCAAATACGAAAGCTTTCCATATATGAACTTGGCTCCGATCGTTCAGTTTGTATGGCAGCTATATAATATTCCGATCTAAAAAAAGTATTCAGCTAATATATTATATTAATACTTTAGTTAATATTGCTTGCTAAATTTCGTGAAGATGTCTTGTTCGATAGAAAAGTTTTCTACACAAGAACTTGATTCCGATAGTTCAGGCGGGGAGAAAAAAATGTGAACAATATCTTAGATTGATATGTCATAAATTGAAGTACTCATTCGCGTATATACAGACAGAGGGTAAGACAGACATGGGTAAATCGACTCAGGTCGTCACGCTGATCATTTAGTGATCCAAGTAGATGTACTTTTTTCAATGGCCTCTGTCATATTATTTTTGTTCAGTATTGTTTGGCACTTTATCATGGAAAGACTTACACCTGAACAACGTTTACAAATCGTTCAACTTTATTATGAAAATTTACGCACTGTAAAGAGTGTGGTTCGCGCACTTCGCGCAACTTATGGTCAACATAATCGGCCTACTGAGCGTACTATTCACAACACCGTCACCCAACTTTCCTTATTGGATAATATTCGACCGAACAGACCACGTCTAGCACGCAGTAAAGAAGAAGCCGTAGCGCCCGTTCGTAGCAAATCGGATTGACGTATGGAAAGAATCGGAGCATTTTACGTCGTGAACTTCAATTGAAAGCATACAAAGTACAATCAATCAATGGATTTAATGAGAGAACACTTCGGTGAGTAGATACTATCACGTTTCCGGCCTTTCGCTTGGCCACCAAGATTGTGTGATATCACACCCTTAGACTTTTTCATGTGGCGATATGTACAGTCTAAAGTCTATGCGGACAATCCCGCTTTGATTCAGGACTTGGTGCAAAACATCACCCGTGATTACCAGTCGAAATGCACGAACGAATAGAATCAACGGATGGACGATGTGAGCCGTTGCCGCGGCCAATATTAGAAGAGATAATCGTCAAAAAATAAATGGCTGAAAAATAGGATTCGTCCTCATTCGATTCATACATATATGTATGTACATATCTGCCCAATCAGATTTCAAAATTGAAATCAAAAAGAAGTCGCCATGGTCAGATCTAGAAGTACGATAGATGAGACGGCAGAGCTGTTAAGTTGTCATAGTAGAAGAGCATTTCAGCAAAATTATTTGGCAAAATAGAAATCTGTGTCCGATTGGCAGTCTTGCAGCACGAGATCCCGGAATGTTATAACGTTATCCACCGTGTGTTAGACGGTCCGAAGACTCGATCACATTGAAACTATTTAAGGCAAACGAAGTAGAAAAATCCCGATTGCTTCTCCTACGACAAGATCTTGAGAACAATCTATAAGTCTTCAGCTGTATTTCCTCTGGAAGCCTGGATAACAGTCAGACAGTACACTTTCTTTGATTTTATTGACTCTCCTGTAAGCATATTTCATCCTTCCACCCAACAACAATGCCATATATATTTTATAGTGTCTCCGATGATGCCTTCTGTGTGTTACAAACATCGTACAACAACTTAATATACATACTCTGTTCAGAGTATTAAAAACACAGAAGTAGATTATAAAATTATTCCAAATTAAAATGAAAATACTTCCCAATTCTTAAACTTTCCTACAGGGCACCAAACAAAAAAAAAGAAAAAAAAAAACATACACACAATTTTTTCTTGTTGTGCAAAAACCAAAACAAAAAATATTCAGAAAATACTTGTGTACTATCTTAGTATCAGCAGGCAGTAACCAAATTTAGAACTTTTTCTACACGCTTGAACCACGGTGTTATTTAGGGGTCAGAATAACACTCTACAAGTGATTTTCATACGGATATGTGATAACATTTAATCAAAATATGATTTCGATGTTGTCATCATATTTAATGCATACGCCAAGATAGCGAAGTAAATATTATCAACAAAGTAAAAAGGCAAAAATTACTAATGTCATGTGGAGATGTGTGTATGTACATACATACATATGTATGTATTATATATAAAATGCTAGCATATGAGTACACACGCCCACCTTGTCAATGACAAACGCCGCCAATGTGAACTCTTATCAGCCTCCAAACAAGTGTTTGCAATATTTCTGAGTGTAACACAAATTTTGCACCACAAATATAATTAAATAACAATTAGAAATTATTTTGCAAAATTTTGAATGAACTGCATTAACATTTTTTTAATTCAGCTAAATTATATGTATATTTAGCCATAAGAATAAAGAATCTTTAAAAATTACACTCTCAATGAATGCCAACACCAATTGTAAAGAATGCATTAAAAAGATATGTAATTGAATTTAAATAATTTTTTCATTTTTTAATTCCGGAAAGCTTGTTTAAAAAAAAAAACAAATTACTAATTCAACATACCCAAAAAAATTGTTGAAACCAAAAATCGAAATTCAAAAATCGGATTAAAAATTAAAATTTTTTTCTAAGCATCGCAAAAATTTTTAATACCCAGTAGGGTTTCAAATAATGCATTCAAAAAATAATTGAATTATAATTTCAATAAATTTCTAATTATTATGTAATTCCCAACATTTTAATTAAACATATTTTTAAATTTTTAATCCCAAATACTGGATGGAGAAAAAATACTTTTTTCTATCTAATTGTGAAAATTTTAATTAAAAATCATTTTTTTACATTTTTGATTCTAAATACTGGATTGGAAAACAAAAATTAATCCAAATACCGGTATCGAAAATAAAAAAAATTTATCTCCAAAATTCGGATAAAACAATTTATCATTCTCTCAATTCTCATAATTATTTGTAAAGATAAATTTTTTATCCCAAATTGAAAAAAAAATATATATTTTTTTGTATTTGTAAACTTGTAAATTGAAACTAAGTTTTAAATTTTTAAAATTATCTTAAAAAAAAATTAATCCCAATATCGGAATGGAAAAAATTGTATCCCCAACATTCGAATTAAAATATATATTACTTGTATTATTTGTAAAGAAAATTTTGAAAAATAATGCTTATTTTTAATAAAATATCAGCATAATTCAGCACTTTTGTCTTATATGTTTTTAATTGCTTTTAATTTTAGTGCTTCAATTAAAAAAACATTGTATGTATGTATACCTTGTTTAAATATTTTTATTTAACAAAATAAATTTTTTTTATTTGTGACTCAATTTTGCTACTAAAAAATAATTTATCAATTTTTGATTTTGATTTTCGGAATAAGCACATAATTTAATTTAAAAAAATTTGAAAAAAAGAACATAATTTTTTATTTTTTTGTTTTATTTTTTTTTAAATTAATTTAAATATTTAGTCCGAAAATCAAAAATTGATAAATAACGTTTAATTTATATTAATTTTTCATTTTTTTTATATTATTTTTGAAATTTCCTAATTTTAATTTTAATTTCGATTTTGAGATTAAAAATTAAATTCTTAATTCTTAATAAATTCTTAATTGTTGATACCAAGTTATCGGTTTCTTTCTTTTAAAAGCAAATATTTTTGATAAAAAAGTTCGCTAACATAACGCAAAAAAATAAGAAATAAAAAAAGTAAAAATTGTAAGTAATTTTTATGTTTTTCTTATTTATCTTAATATTTTATCCTTTCTCACATTTACTAGTTCGTATTGGTTAGCTGTCGTAAAACTCGATCAGATATATTAATCCGGTATATAATATATTAATTCTGCTAACAGTACTACCAACATACATATGTATACATATATTCTTTAATATTTTCGGCAGCTAAAATGGTTTTTAGAACTTTGGTATCAAATACACTGCTTTGACAACTGTAGAAATGAATAGAAAATAATAGATGTACATACATATGTACTCGCATAAAGTAAAAAAATGACTTTCACTTTTCCTTCTCATACAGATCTTTGCGTCATATTATTGAAAAAAAAAACCTCATTAATATGCAAATATACTACATATGCATTGGCATTAGCTAATGCCTCACACACTTGCACATAAACAACTCAGCAACACTCAATTTCTGCCAGAGTTCACTGTACTTCTTCTCATTATTAACTTCACACATTTTTCACGTTTTCCGGCGAACGTTTTCTTATAACAACACTTAACTTTTTGCTGTTATTACTATTTTTCGCAAAAACTTCCTTTACTTACACTATTTTGTACACTAAAAGGTCGTTCGTAAAAATATGTGTATGTTTATATTACAATCGCCTGTATGAAACTTGCAAGTTCCAGGTTATTCACTCAACTATTTCGTGTCCACAATGCACGAATGGATTTTCGAGACTGAAACGTTCGAATGCCGAAAACAGAGTGTGGAAAAGTCAAAGCGAAATAGTATAAATATAAATAAAGTTAATACATGTGTCGCTATTTCGCATGGGCGTGTTCATACACGTACATACATGTACAATTGTGTACGTATATTCTCGTAAATGCGAGTTTTCGGTTTTCGTTGCTGTTCCATTTTGGTTTGTGATAACTTGTTGAGCTTTACGCTGTGATCCCACAGACCGCAGACAACAAAAAAAAAAGCAAACAAACTGATAAAAATGCGCACACACCGGCCCACATTATTATTTGGAACCAAACTACCCTGTTGGTAAATAATTATGAATTAATATACAAGTAGTATGAAGTTGAACTGATTACCTGTAAATGTTTACCCTTTAATATTTGTTGTTGGGTACTTTTTTTAACTCTGAACGATTAAGGCAATAAACTACTTTCAAACTAGTTTGTTGTGAACTAGTTCCAATCTAGTTACTCAGTAATCAATTTTATAACCAGTTAGCTATGAATAAAAATTTCCTGTAATTTTCGAAATTACTTTGTAACTAGTTTGTATTTAACTAGTTACGCAATTAGTTACTGATGTATAACTATTACAGAAAAGAAAATAACAATACACTGAAACATAGTAGAAACTTTCATTGCAACTAGTCTCTCATGAACTAATTTTGAACCAGTTACTTAGTAATTGTTTGTATTATGAGTTAACTATGAATAAACATTTCCATGAGTATTTGTTAAATTCGGAGAGAGCGTAGTCGTATAATTGAAAAAAAACTAATGAAATGAAAAGGAAACATTGGAGAAACTACTACAGATCAAAAGCCCAGGCTGTTACTTTCTCTTAATCAACTCAACTATTGAGTTAACGGTAGTGAGTTCGTGAAATCTTAATCTTAAAATCAAGTTAATCTAGATTCCAATTCTAGATTCTAGATCTAACCTTCAACTGTCTATTCTGTCTGAGAATTGGATGAAAGTAATTTCTAAAGCTTATGAATTTCGTGTTTGTGACAAAGCAACAGAGGAAATAATAAGTTTTAGACTCTTTAATGAAGTCTTTTATTTTAAAACTAAACTTCTAAGGGCCATGATCTCATCTAAGAAATATAGAATTGTGGATTCCGAATTTTATGTTGTGAAAAATTTGAATGGTTATTTCTTCGACTTGTGGATTTGCCCTTGTCATCTCTTTTGGTTTTGATATTGGTCGAAAAGGGATTCGAGCCCAGCACCGAAGGCACCACAGTAGTCTTTACATATTAAATAGAAGAGGTCGTTTCACGGCTATAATTCTTTGGAAATTTCGACGTTGACTATATCACATTTGACTCTAAATTCTTTCTGGAATATAAAAGCGAACTTGTGATACAAAAATATCTTGAATATTTCGAATAATTTTTTTCGAACTTAGGCGTAATTTATTTCTTTCTACCTTCTATTTAAAATTATTAAATATTTTCTTCTCCATTATTACAACCACCTTCTACTGTGTCTAATTGCATCATTCTTTACATGCATGTATGTATGCGATTGACCTTTGTTTTGGTCTTCATTTTACTTAAGTGATAAGCAGATAAACGAGTTTGCCATTTTATCAAAACGTGGCAAATGAGAGACCGGCCACAAATTCATGATAAAATAACGAAGAAGAGTGTGAGAAAAAGGTGTGAGTTTGTTTGCACCGGTTTCGTCGCTACCTAATGATTATGTGCAGTTGTCAAACAACTTGTGATATCCTATAATTAATGTTGAATAGTAGCTCGGAAATAACTTTTTATGAGTACGCTATAAATTTTTAATTACAATTTTTTCTAATATCTATAACATATGAATATAATACAATTTTCTATAGAGAGAGAACGAGGTCAAGAAGCAATCACAGAAAAGGATTATTTTTTGTCGCTGAAAAATGAGGCTTTATAAGTTCTGCGGGGTTTAAACAGGATTCAATTTATACATATAATAGTTTTCGTAATCCAAAACTATTCACTAAAGTGATTGGGTCGAAACTTTCGGGTCAGACAGCGTAGGTATTTTGGTAGCAAGTCTTATACATACATACATACATATGTATGTGTAGATTAAGTGCCGATTTGTATTTTATTTCATATTGATCGAGGTCTTAGAATGACCGTCGTTCATTAAGGTACGTTTTGTGCTTTCGAAGCACCGTTGGAAACGATACAATACGGCGTCTTTTAGAATAACCAAACCTCTAAATAAAAAACTAAAAGTTTGAATTGTGATATTCTACCTTAAGGACGTAAAGACTTGATTATATCAACTAACGGAATATCTTCTATTAAAGATCGAATTTCCAAGGCGTTTTGATACCTTTAAATGAAATTTAGAGTCCTTGTGCTTAACAATCAGAGGAAACTGACATGCAAGACTGCTTTGGCGATTTAGCGTCCAAGCAACTACCAATCTATTCATTATACCCTGCATAAATTAAGTTTGCCACGAAATTTGTAATACCCAGAATAAAACCCGGAAATCGTATAAAATATACATACATATGTATTATATTTGTATATATATATAGGTTAGATTAAGAGATCGATCCTGACCGGAATCTCACTTGTACAGCTAAGAACGCCGATTTGTGGTCTTACTAAACCTATATAAATAATCATAACACCCTTATCAATCGACAATGCGCTTTGAGTCTATCACAAAATTGTTGAGAGCTATGTTACATGGTTTGCCGAAGGTAAGACTGCAAAGATATTTTATTCTCAATGTTTCAAATGCTGGACAATGTGGGAGAAAATGTCTGGATGTTTCCAACTCAGCTTCATCCATTTATCTTTAACCACATTCGTCCTGCGTCCTTATCGCTGTTAACCTTTTGCTGTTAATGGTGGCTCCAAGATAAACTTCGAAGGTATGACCGTCTACAGTGACATTCGAGATAAGTCGTGAGTGCCACGACTGTTTCTTTGATGACAGCATATATTTCGTCTTGCCCTCGTTCACTACCAGAATCATACTTACTGGAGATGCAGAGCTAACGGAGCGGCATTATAGAAGATTGTACCTTGTACTTACTGTATGATAAATGGTGCTACGAGATCTTAACATGATATAAACCTTAGCGAAAAAATTCTTTTCAACGAAAATTTAATTCTACGGGCTTTCTTCTTTCGTTTGTGATCTGATATTATTATATAAAATGATCTCTATTCCACATAGTTCTGAGTTCATTCTTAATTTCCAAAAGAGTATTGAGAAAACAAATAATCATAGCTGAAAATATATTTGAATCTAAAATAATTGATTCTACGATACAACAATAATACAATAATATTCTGAGGGATAGGAATGTTATCAAAATCGGATATATTTAAGAAGCTGAGACACTTTTGGAGGCTTCTTAATATGCAAGAAAATGAAGAATTTTGAAATTTGTTGTGTCAGCAACCGATAGACTTGATGCAGAGGAGAAATCAGTTTCTTAGTATATGTATATACTATATAACCAACCACAGATATGTACATATTTGTTTTCGAACAAATATTGAAAATATTTTGAATACTCTTCTGTTTTACTTTTTATAGCTCAACGCTTATCATCGAAAGGTCAAAAACTCAAGGCAAGTTAGCTTAAAACCAGACTGTAATGTAGATTATTTAATTAATGTGCTCAATATGTACATATGTGTACATATGTATGAGTGCATATAAATATTATTATATGACTCTAAATTGAACTTCGGGGGTGTGTCGCTTAAAAGTCAAAAACTGAACTGTGCTTATGCGCAAAAAACATTGAAGAAGCAAAGCTTCTTCTTCTTGCTTGGAGGTATGAGCAAAAGAAGCAAGCAAAAATTACGAAAACGCATCGATAGCAAAGCAATGATAATAAAACTAATTTAAGCAGCTTTTGTTTAGTGGTATAAGTATGTATATAAACTGATGTATATATGTTAGCAACCTGCTACGTAGTGCTTTTAAGTTCAGTGCTAAGTAATTTTGGGGGCCCGTCTACGTGCCTACTCACAGATGTTGATACATTTATACATAACAAACACAGCCAATTGTGTGTTAGTATTTCAAGTTTGCTTGTTTTCTATTTTTGCCCCTTTTTTGAACGTGTGCTTGTGCGATTGCGCCACATGTGGCTTTTATTGACTTATTTTGTTTTTGTTTTTATAAATGAACTTGTTTTTAATTTTGTGTAGTGTTATTTAACTTTTTCCGCTTATGTACATACGAATGTACATATGGCTGAAATATTTTTAAAGTTTTTTAATAATTTTATTAACAGAAGATTTTGAGCGTTAGTTGCGCGTGGCAACAAGCGTTAGCAGTGAATATTATATATGGCCAATAGAGATTTATTAATATTTTTTGGATAATTTTTTCAATTGGCTTATGTAATTCGAAAAATAAACGAAATAAAAAAAAAAAAACGGATTCTCGAAAATTTTTGAAATTTTACAATTTTGCTTTTCGCAGTAGAAAGACGTTTGAATGCATTGAAATAAATTTAACCGATATAGTACTTAAAATTGATGTAGAATCAAAATTTTAATTAAAATGTTCAGAAAAGAGTTCCGAAAATTTAAAAAAATACTCTGAAAATTTCAAACAGTTTCGGTTGTCTAAAAAACCAAAAAAATTTAGAAAAAAATTACTTCGAAAACTAAAATTTTTAAATTTACGACAGCAAATTTATTTTCTCATTTCAGACAAAAATTTTGATGAGTTATTCCATTTGAGGTATTGCCTTTGCTCAACCAAAAGGGGAATCCGAAAAGTTTAAAATCCTTGTCTTAAAATTCAATTAATTTCAGAAAAAATGTTCAGAAAAATTCTAAATTTTTATTTTATAAAAAACTACTCAAAAGTTGTCAGAAAATATATTCCGAATTTCCGAAGTTGTCGAAAAAATTCCAAAAATTATTACAAAATGTACCCTGAAATTAAAAAAAAAAAAATAAGAAAAATTGTGAATTGTTATTTTATGAAAAAATTCTCCGAAGTTGTTGAAAAGAAGTGCAAAATG